CGGCACATAAGGTAACATTCACAGGTTCTAGGATTACGATACAGATGTGCCTTTGGATGCCAATATTTAGCCTACCACAGTCCAGAGAACTGAGCAATGAGCTTTGCTTCACACCAAGTTGGGGACACATCAGTAACACCCTTGTATTTACTCCTTTTATCTCATTTCCCCCAAACTCCTCCTACTCTTGGATTGAACTCTCCACTAAAGAGACAGCCATGAGGTTTCCCTCAAGCTCTCCTTTCTGGAGAACACCAAGTAATATACGTAAACCATTAAGAAACCTGCACACAGTAATGGCAGTAATAGTAGAAGTTGTAATACAATAATAGTTCCTACAGTTTTCAGAGACTTAACTTTTTTCCAGAGCATTGCTTAATCGCTTAAAAATAAGCTTATACGCTGAGGAAATGGAGGTCATCTATTTCAGTGGAATTTCGCACTGTGTTGAAAGATTTATTTCCCCTCTACAAAACATTTCCAGCCTGGTGACAATTTTTCAGAAGAATACCTGCTAAAAGATTGGAATTAGAAAAAGAAGTGTTTTCCCACAGCAAATGGAGGAAAATGCACTCCACTACAGGAAAGTGAAATAAATTAGTTAATGCTTACAAATTTCTTACAGATGAAAAGTGTTATCTGTATCAGTATTAACTCCTGCCATGAATATGCTTTTTGTGTGCTGAACAAATTACAGTTCTTAAAACAGCAGCGTCCTAGGTCCTGGGAGTATCTGAGAAGTAACACAGCTTTATGGATGAATTGCAGAATCAGATAACACCACTTTCAAGTTCAATCAACAGGGCTGTGACTGATTTATGTTGGGGGGAGAGAGGAGAATAACACAAGATTTTTACCATAACCTCTCAGAGGTCTTTGCATGTGACAATTGTTCAATGGAAGATTCTGGAAGATTGCTTTTTTTTATGAGGCAACTTCATTGGCACCTTTGTTTCAGAAAATCATATTATTTTTAGGTTCACAGATAAACCTGAAGAGAACTGGTAGACAACGCCATTGAATAAGGGGAAAATATTGGTGAACTTCCCTGTTAAAGGGACAAGTACCAAAAACAGAAACTTTCAAGAACTTCGGCTCTCCTACCATGAGAAAGCCAATTCAATATTTTTGTGGAAGCTGCTTCCTACAGGTGCATTTAATAATTATCATTTCAAATATTACAAGGCAAGTTATTGAATGAATACAACCTGAATGGAGATTGTATTTAACAGTATGGTTAAAGTCCACATCAGATATGTTTAACATATGTCATTTAATTGGACAATTCATGTCTGAAATTTTCTCTTAAAGAATTCTCTTGGAATTTATGCTCAAAAGCTTAATTTCCATATCTACCAAACCTAGACTGTCTCTATCATTTAGTTGCTGGTATAACCTGCTATCAGTATCCCTCCTTTGCTTTCCTTTCATGGTATGAACACACACATAGAAGGGTGCGTGCACGTGCACACGCACACACTACATAAAACAACATGTCAGGCAACATTTTGTTGAGTGACAGGATCTCTCTTCCTTTCTCATCCCATCTGCTCTCTTTCTTCATATCACAAATAAGGGCCAACTCCTTCGGCAGCACAGGAGAAATCAAGAGAAGAATCTATATACCTCTGCAGATTCTAGCCATAGGGGTCCAAGAACAAAATTGTTCTAAGAGTCTTCCAACTTTTCTTTGTATAGTCATCACTCTCCCTGAAAACTTCAGCTCTTTGTCCAGTTCATAGCAGGCTCTTAAACAATGTTGAACAGTAAATGAATGAATGAAGAAATGCACTAAAGAATGAAGTGTTTCTGAAACCATGGAAAGAAGCATGAAAATAAAGAAGCATGTAATATGCTGAAAAGAGCAGTGACTTAAGTCCAGGAGACCTAGTTTTCAGCCCTTCTCCTGACGTACTATTTGATCTTGGGTAGGCTATCTGAGTCTCATTTCTCACATGCCAAAGAGAAATAACACTTATTCTAATGTTTTTATAAATATAATAATATCTATGCCACAAATATGGCACAGTATGGTTTAGAAAATACTTGGACTCACGTTCTCTTACTTAACCTTCCCAACCACCAACTGGGGGCAATGGGTGGCCATCATTTGGCCTGGAAGCAGAGGTCCACAGTGTTGATCATGAGGTCCTGGATAGTTAATAAAGGTGCACTTTAAGCCAGAAGTTCCAGCTGTCTCCACACCTCCTTTTCCAGGCAGCAGACAAAGGAAGAGCCCAGCCATGATCAGTTACTTGCCACTGAGACCATAATGGCAGAACCTTTTCTCAAGGCATGACCTGTTGCCCCAAATCCGTCTTACTTTCCCCGAATCCTTCTCACTTTCTGCTATCTGTAAACCTGTACCGAACACTCATATCATAGTACATTACCAACGTCCTCAGCATTTCACCAAATGAGGACCACTATAAAAATTCCTATAAGTATATTTCTCATCATGGAGTGGGTATTTAGTAGACACTCAGTGAATCAGATAGGCTACAGCAGGCATCGGCAAACATTTCCTGTAAAGTACAAAGTAGTAAATCTTTTAGGCTTCATGGTCTCTGTCACTACTGCTCCATGTTGAACTGCAAAAGCAGCAGTGGACAGAACAGAAACAAATGGGTGTGGCTGTGTTCCAATAAATCTTTATTTACAAATACAGGCAACAGGTCAGATTGAGCCTGTGGGCCTTTGTTTGACAAACCCTTGGACTACATCAACTTTGAGAACATCCTTGATGTCAAAAAAACATTATTTTAACACTTCCTTTTAGAATCAGGGTCCTAACAACTCTTGATTAACACATCTATCCAGGCACTTTTATCCCTCTCCTTCCACTGCCCTCTGATAAAGACCAACTGGCAGAGGGACCTGGGGCATTTATCCTTCAATTCCAGTTATTCCGAAAGACAAAGCAGGGGCAGAGGCTAAAACCAGATCCCAGGTCTTTGAGCCATACCCAGCATATCAAGTGCCCCTCTTCAAATTCTACTGAGTTTGCTGTACACCTAATAAAGAAAATAGAACTATTCTTTCACTTAATAGTCCTTTAGTAAGGGTATGCGGGGGGGGGGGGCTGAGTTTACTAAAGGCCCTTATAAAATGCTGGCTAAAAGGAAATAATTCTCCTTAGCACCACAGAATCCTTTTCATGTGAAGCTACATGATCACTTTTCATTTTGTTTCTCAAGCACCCCGTGGCACCCATCCACATATTAGGCTAATAACTGCATGAATCTAGTTAAAAGGAACCAAGCAATTATTTTAATTAGAAGAGAACAAAAATAATGCTCCTGGATTCTGTTTTAAGGGGCAAGAAGGAAGTAGTCAGGGCTCGAAAAGATCCCACAAAATATTTTTGTGAAAGGAAAAATAATTAAGGCCAAATTTAGAATGTACTTGCAATAAATGGGCCAAATAACATGAATGGCACCACTGTGCAACTAAAACCCATTCATATATAAGAGCCCCAGAAACTCCATTTTTATGTGATACCATTCTGAGTGTAAAGCCAATTTTACAACGTGAAAGTGAATGGCTACTGGAGACTTTAACGATCCTTGTGAATCTCTTTCACAATTTCTTATAGAGTTTCTGTGTAAACTCTTTTATTAATAAGAGAAAATGGGAATGATATTAGTCAATTTTCTTTTTAAATAGGATTATTTTTTATTTAAATTCTTTGAGTAAATTGTTTAGATATGTATACACACACACACACACACACACACACATATATATATATATATATATATATATATATATCCTTGTTAGTCATCTAGTCTACAAAAAGCAGATTCCATCATAAGAGAGTTTTAATCATTTGAACTGAACTTAATCATACAGGAAGAGGTTGTGTATGCAAATTTCCATAGTGTTTGCCTCCTGGCCTCCCTTCTGGTCATGGAATTTTGGCCATTTTATTCCATCTCAGGCTTCCAAAAAGAGATGAAGTGCAACTCAAACTAGTCAAATAGCCAGTGTTGTTCCTTCTGTTTGAATCTATAAATGTTTATTGAGCACCCGTTACGCACAGCACAAAGTAAGTTATGGATGTCCATAGATGACTAGTCCATGCATGCCAAGAGTTCACAGAGACAGAGGCATGGGCAGAAAGGAAACCATGCAGCCCCAGCTGAGAGGGGTCAAGAGTATCTGGCCTGGGCTGATTATTAAAGAATGGATTAACCAACGGAAAGACATGGACAATCTATTCCGGGGAGAAAGATCAGCATATGCAAAAGCTGGGACACAAAGAATGCCAGGTGATATGCTGGGGACTGCAAGCAGATAGAGCTGCTGGATTGTGACACAAGAGAGTGGGCTGGTGAGGGAAGCAAGAGCCAAGTCACAGGAGCATTTTTGTGCCATGTTGTTAAGCCTGGACTTCACCTTGTAAAGCAATGAAGAGGCACCAAATAGTTTTCAACAATGGACTAACGTGGCCAGCCTTCCATTCTAGAACAAGCATTTGGATGGTTGAGAAGATGATGAAACGGAGACTAGGTGTCCCACAAATGTCACAGCCCAGGCAAGAGGTAATAAGGCCTTGAACTAGGATAATAGCAAGGAGGGATGGAGAGATGGGGTGAGGTATGAGATATACATCATTGGAGGAGTTTTTTTAAAAACTTCTGCGGAAGTGACTGAAGGGGTCAAAAGTAGGAGATTAAATTAGCTTTGAAGAGTCTCAGTGGGAAGCAGGTGTTTTAACTGAATGCTTGTCATACATCCAAAAAGCTTGTTCTGTCATAGGTTCTTCCTTAAACCCAGGATGGCCTTTGATCATAGATTCTGGAATTGAGATGCAGTAACCAATTTCAGCCTTGGGGACATGAGCATACTGCTGCAAACCAGATGAAAACTCCTAGAACAGAATCTAACTTCTATTCCACGTTCTCATGCAAAACTCACACAAAAACAGTTTCCTGCCACAAGTCTAAGTTAAAATATACAGAAGCCTGGAATGAAAGAAAATTGTGGTGAATACTTACTGTGGTGGCTGACTGGGTTCAGGAATGTCCAGGTAGCCGGTAAAAGGTGATTTCTGAGTGTGTCTGTGCGGGTATTTCTGGAGTAGATCAGCATTTGAATAGGTAGACTGAGGAGCGAAGATCACCTTCCCCAATGCAGTGGGCATTATCCAATTCATTAAAGGCCTGAATAGAACAGAAAAGCCAAGAAAGGGTGAATTTTCTCCCTTTGCTTAAGCTGGGATATTCATCTTCTCCTGCCCTTGAACATCTGGTTCTTGGGACTTTCAGAATCCAAGCAGGACTTACACCACCAGCCCAATCCCCCATCTCTGCTCTGCTATTCTCTGGCCTTCAGACTTGGACTGAGTTACACCACCAGCCTTCCTGGTTCTCCAGCTTGCACATGGCAGATAGCAGGAATTCTCAGCCTCCATAATTGTGCTAGCCAATTCCTATAATAAATCTTCTCTTATATACTTATATCTATACACATCCTATTGGTTCTGCTTCTCTGGAAAATCCTGACTAATGTGCTTAGGACAAACTACATATATTTTAATTACTGCATTTACATTAGACTCATTTATGATTTAGTTTTTTAAAGAATGTAAAGAATACACCTCTTAACTCATTTTAGGAGCCAGCTGAATCTTGATAACACACCTGACAAGGACATTACACTAAAAGAATATTACTAGTAACTTCCATTTATCCGAGATCTGACAATTAAGTTCACGAACTTGTTGCACCGCTGTTGCTAACCTTGTTTTGATTTCAGAGGGGTTATTCATTATGAATTTGTACCAACTGGACAAACAGTTAACCAAGTTTACTATTTGGAAGTGCTGAAAAGGATGCAGGGAAAAGTTAGATGACCTGAATTTTTCACTAACAATTCATGGTTCGCATCACAACAATGCACCAGCTCACACAGCACTGTCTGTGAGGGAGTTTTTAGCCAGTAAACAAATAACTATTTTGGAACACCCTCCCTACTCACCTGATCTGGCCCCCAATGACTTCTTTCTTTACCCAAAGATAAAGGAAATATTGAAAGGAAAACATTTGGATGACATTCAGGACATCAAGGGTAATACAGCTCTGATGGCCATTCCAGAAAAAGAGTTTCAAAATTGCTTTGAAGGGTGGATGAGGCACTGGCATCAGTGCATAGCTTCCCAAGGGAAGCACTTCAAAGGTGACTGCAGTGATATTCAGCAATGAAGTATGTAGCACTTTTTCTAGGACAATTTCGCAAACTTAATTGTCTGTTCTCATATATATTGTTGTAAAAATTATCAAAATGTGCAGCAATACATAAAGTAAATAATACATCCTAACCAAGTTGGGCTTAGTTCAGAAATGTAAGGTTGGTTTAACATTTAAAAACCAATGGTAGGGCCGGCTGAGTGGCTCAGTTGGTTAAGAGCTCGCTCAAGAGTTTGAGCTCTGAGCAACAGCGG